CTTTCAAGTCGCTCCTCTTCAGTATAGAAAGATGAAACACTGCATCGCAAGTTTGAGAGCTCAATTATCCTGAATGATTGCTCTCCGATATTTGCAGTCCTTAAGTGGTCGTATAAGAGCCACAGGATCTGCCTACTCTTGATGCGATTGTTGGAGCGTTGAGCGGCTTCGGTGAGACGATTAATCTTATCGATAATTGCAACAGTCTTGATGCACTTCCGAATGGCTGCATTGAACCTGGCTTCAAGGATGTGGTATTTACATTCCCCATCCAGTTCATCAAAGGTCTTTGCCTTCTCGACTTCAGTTAGCCAATTGATGACGTAGAGTCCATCATAGCTGTAGGCATTGCTAACAGCTTCCTTCATGTTGGCTATCCATACCCTCAGCCCAGCCGCGTCGGGCTCTGGCGGGAGGTCTATGGGAATGCATTTAGTCGCAGCTGTACAGTTCGGATCATGGTGGCTACTGTATCCGCCGCCACCAGTCCCGAAAAGATGCTGTGGAACCTGAGAACTACCGATTGACAGTGCACATACAGGACAAAGGCGAGTAGCCTTCGGAATGCAAATCTCACATGCCCTTTTCATGCATATCTTACATTCCCCAATTTTGCTGGGGTCAGGAATATCCCGATCACACATCCGACAGTTCTTGTCAGGAGGATCGGGGCCACGCATGGTCGGCGGCTCAAGGCCTGAAGGATCCTTCGGCCTCGTACCGTTGGGATCAAATCCTGGATAATATCCGGTTTCTCGTTTATCCAGGGGCACGGGTTGCGTAGCCCTCGGAGGGCTCTGAAGGTCAGCCGCGTTGGGTTGACCCCCAGTGGGAGTGTCACGGAATCTGTCAACGGGTGGCCGCAGAGGCGGCGAGTACGACCGCGTCGGGTTCGTCTCAGGCGCGCCTCCAGGAGATCTATTCCTGACACGGTTACCATCGGGATCCCTTCTTCTCCTAGTTTCGTCCCTAAGGCACGCAAGACAACAGGGACCCTGGACAAATCCAAATCTCCTGTAGTCATCCTGCCCAGCGGAATGTCTGGTGCAGTAGTAGGTCCTACAAAACTGACACTCAATTCCCTTGGTCAGGAACGAGCTCTCCCTACAGACACCGCATCGGGGTCCGTTATGGGAACATTCTTCACACAAGTTCTCTTTGAACGAGAAACAATACTCACAAATACCACCTCTGCATCCTTTGCAGTGAAACTCAGCCATAAGGTGATTATATCCATCACCTACGTATTTACACCTGGGTTTACCAGGGTCGCCAGGGTTCCCACCGGCAGCACTCTTCTTCCCCCCTCCTCCTGGGCTTTGCCGATCTGGAGGAGGAGGTGGTGGAGGATCATCATCAGGAGGGCCAGGTGGAGGTGGCCGCTTATCCGGAGTACGGGGCGCGGCACGCCTTCCTCCTGTGCGATCGTTCAATCCACTACTTGACGCCTGGTTCGAGTGCCTTGACTCGAGGGAGTTAATTCTCTGGGCCGTATTACCCAGCACCTCGAGCATTTGCTCGATCTTACTGTTGAGCGTAGTCGAAACGGCCATGTTATGAGTATTTTGCTTGTCCGTGTAGGACTTGCAGTCCCTTGACTTTATCTCAAGGTTGGCTTGTGTTTCATAAAGTTGGTCTTTAACCCACTTTATGCCGTCCCTATTATTGGTCCAGCATTGTTCGACATCCTGCATCATCCTATCAATCTGACATACCCTAGTGGACAGGTCCTCGATTTTGAGGTTTACTCCACCAATCGCAGGATGGTTGGACTGGCTCTCCACTAGGGATCTCTCGATCATATCAACACGAGCTATAAGCCCGGTTACTCGATCAGAAAGAGACTCAAAAACAGTTTGGACTTGGGTGATGGAGCGAGCAACATCATCATAGCTAGCTCGCTCATTTAGGGCATCGCCTATGCTTATCATGCGATTGGAAACGATCTTGACGCGTTGGCCAAGCTCGGTCACGATGTCCTTAGTCCCTTGTGACAGCTGCATGGCCGCGTTCGCAGCCTGCGTACAATTGCTACTCACATGGACGCATTGGTCGTATTTGGCCCTCCACGAGCTAACCTCAGTGGAGAGCTGCTTGATGCATTGATCACTTCTATCATTCCTACGCCCGAGGTCTTCGACCTTAGCAACCAGGCGATGAATAATCGCACTTACCGAAGAGTCCACTCTCCCTCTTTCAAGGGCTGTTACAAGATCAGCAACCTCGTTGGGTTGCTCCTCACTCGCAGGACCAAATCCTGATCCGCGATCTCGAGGAGTGGATAAATCAACCATGATCGGATTAGATCTCGGAGGTGTCCTGAAATCATCTTGTACCGCCGTTGATGGCCGTGGGAATTCGCTCCGATTCGGAGACTGACTCTGATACGGTGCCGATCTTCTGGCATCACGAACAGCTGATGGCTGTGGCATGCCTAGACCCTTTGTCACAAACAATTTGGGAATTACCGGCCTATCAGTCCGCATAGGAACATCAGGCTTCATATCAGCAATGACAACGTCATGCAAATCAGTCGCATTGGACGCTCTAGACTCAGACATTGATTCAACATCGGTAGCGCTGCTGACAGTGTTGTTGTGATTGGAACTTGATGCCATCATGGATTCAGACTCAATCGGAACATCAGCTCCGTCTGTGTTGTCAATGGCGAGAAAGGAAGCCGCATTGGGCGTAGGGCGAACAGGCTGTACATTCGGGCCATTCGACCCATTGAATTCCCCCTGGAATGCTTCGATCCCATCAAGCACGTTAATCAACGTGTCCGCGTTTAGCGGATCTCTACCAATGATTGACGCTGGGTCACCTGATCGACCGCGTCCTGAGTCCCGCGTACTGGGGTTAACCCTATGGGCAGTTTCCCGATCCATCCCCCTAGCCCTATGCGACCCAGTCGAATTTGACCTTGATCGTTTGCTTGGGGTTGGACTGGGATGCAAATCCAATCTATCTACGATATTACGCTCCCTAGGGCTCTCAAATCCTGAAAGTCCAGGGGGAGGGGACATGTTCCTCATGGTCGGGTTTACCGACGGCCTTGGCCTGACGTTACGGCTGGCCACGTCAGGATTGAGATTCTCAATCGACAAAGGTAGCATGAATTCGTCGCTTCCAGCAGCCCGTTTTGGGCTTTGGAATTGCGGGAAAGATGACGGGGCGGGTGGCCCTGGCATCCATGCGGCAAAATCCATACCAAAAATGTTTCCGTCGTTGGGCCATGAGGCTCTCCAATCGAGCCCACCGGATTCGGTCGGCAGATGAACGTCAAATGCAACTCCACTGGATGTACCAGGTTCGGGATTACCGAGCGCTTGAAAAACTATACTACTGGTTGGCACAGGTCTACTGCTACTTCGAGAGTCACGAAACTCGGACTGACCAATATTCATCAGCTCCGGGAAAGATGAGGATTGAGCTCCAGGTGCAATACCGGGCTCGTCATCATCACGTCCTGAGACGGAATCATCATGGTCAGGACGATTAGCCCCACGACCCTGAGAGCGATTAGCTCTTGAGGCATTAGACGATAGGTCATCAGTGCGAGTAGCACTGGACCTTCCTGAAGGCATTGCTTCGGAAAAGGTGTGGTCCGACAAAAAGTCAGGACCGGAAAACATCGGCTGTCCGGGCACTTGGTCGTCATTCACAACGTCCAAGATTCCGGCCTGGCCGAGAACCCACTCATCGGTCACCACATGAGGTCCATCCTCGGTGATTCCCGCCATGAGTCCTACAGTAGCCTATGGAAAACGGCGCCTGCAGGGTTGTTATTAAATGGGGTTCGCGGTGCCAACCGAGGACGAATCCTACGGCTGATAACCTGCGAAAGGGTTTGAAACAGTTTTTCGGGAGAGAATAAACAGGCCCTAACCCACCAACAAGAGGAGACAGTTTAAGCCCCCCAGTCCCAAGGGCAAAGTGGTGCCCTCGGCTGGCAATGAACCACACAGATAACAAACGGGGGATCCTGTTTAACCGCAAAACCCAAACAGGAAAGGGGACCAGCGCAGCCAACCAGGCGAGCGCAGCAAGCAAGCGAGCAAAGCAATTAACCAAGCAAAAGCGGAGCAGCAGCAACAGAGCGCACACCACCAGACAAACAACCGACCCACAACCAAAGAACGTGCCTACCGCCGCGAACCTCAGCCCGATCTTTTGCAAGACCGAGATGAGTAGCGGCGCCGTAGGCAGCCGATGCCGTTATGGCGGCGGAGTCCGACGCGGTGAAAAGCTTGAGCCAAATGCCGCGTTGGGCATAGGCAGGAAATGACATACGCTATGATAAAAGTACATGCCCCCAAAAACACTGTCATTTGATGTCACTTGCCCCGTGCCCTTGGGGAGCTGTCTTCCCTTGACGCCTGCCAAGATTGGGTGCTCCTACAGAATTCGGCCTCCTTGCATCATGGACAGCGTCACGGAGTTGATGGCTGCTTGCGCCGCTGCCCGCAGCTTCGCCAGGGCATCCTCCCCAGGGCCTGGCAGCTCGTAGGCAAGGCTTGTGCACATGCGCCCCGCTCCAACTTCTGGTTGCTAGGCTGCTAGGCAGCTAGGCTGCTAACTTCCGCGTCTTTTCCATTCAGCGCCGCACGGGATTCGAAGGCTTGGAGCTCCGAGGTGAAACCTTGCCAGTTAGAAGATTCGCGCGATACCTGGCGAGGGCGGATGCTTTGTGGCAGCTCGTTGCACTCGCGAAGGCTCGTGGTGCATTAGCTTGGACTTGAGAACACACGAGCGCCTCCACAGACATCCTTGCCTTGACCGTGCTTTAATTATGGCGGAGCCTGTGTACCCCATTGCAACCGAACATGTGACATATGGAATTGTGCACCAAAAGTGACTGGCTGAATATGGCTGGGCTGGAGTTTCAAGGGCCCAATGAGCTTTATTGTGCTTGGGCGGTCTCCTTCAAAGCTTGCCGCCCACTCTTGGTCATGAAACGTCCGCTTGTGTCATTGGCAGGGCCTCAGAAACAGATTGGCGGGTCTATTGGGTTGAACAAGAGCGATTCAAACACAGCGGTCCTGCAGCACATTGTCTGGGAGAAGTGCATTTGCATCTCTCCGGAAAAGGCTGCCGCCTACACAGCTGCTCCATCCGAATCTGGGATGTACCAGCAAATTATCGCAATCAGAATGTAGATCGCGATGAGAATGGAGCCCTCCAACCAGTTTGAACAGCCATCTTGCAGCGCCGTGTGGGTGATAAAGACTGACAGGATCATGACTGTCGTGTCAAAGATCCGGAAGTCAAGCGACATCGGCACATCAAAGACCTGCATCAAGCTAGATGGGCGAACCAACTCAACCAACTTGTCCGCTCCAGCTGCAAAAGAGGCAAACAAAAGCAACGAGCAGGAAGCAATCATGAAATCTATGAACTTTCCGCAAGGGTCGGGTGTCCTACTTCAAGTTTTCGGCTCAAACTGCCTGAGAAGAATTTGGTCGGGCGCAAATGTGCTGTTCCGAGCAACATGTGAAGCCAGTCTCAGGAAAAAAGGCCCATGGAGGCATTCCAGACCTCCTGTGTTGCATATGTAGATTGAGATCGGACCCCAAACCGCTTAAGTTGAGCTCAGGGGCTTGCTCACGGGCAAGCTCCAGGCACTTCACGCCTCTTCCCGCCTCCCCCCCCTGCTCCCCCGGGGCCCCACGCCCAGCCCACGATCACCGAGAATGGCACCACCAGCAACGCGATTTGGGTGGAGGAGCCCACGGCAACTCCCAGCGCCAGGTCCTGGGTTGCTTAAACCTTTCTGCAAAAGCGCAAAAGCATTAATCGCATTGCACATTCAAGAAAGATCTTGCTACTTGCTTTCCCCAGAAAGCTAGCAATTAAGGGTTCTATGGCACCCAGTTTGTCTGCTGTTTGCCCGAAGCGTTGGTTGTTGCTAAGCCTCCTTCCTACCAGTACCCTTTGCTTGTTCTCTTTTCTTCGGCCCGGCTTCCTTCCACTGTGGAGAACACTGAGGTCATGCCTACGTCATGCCCGCATCGTGCTCTAGTCATGACCGCCCTGGACGCCTTGCATCACAAAAGGAAGTGGATTGCGGTCTGAAAGAAATAGCAGCAACATCACGAGTTCCATTCGCCTCATGGCGCTTCAGCAATACGTTGCAATGGCAACCATATAAAGTCAACATCAAGACAATGCAAAAAAAACACCCACTGCGATTCTTTACCACGTGGACCAGTGGATCAAACAAACACTTCTGATCTTTCTTCAGGTCTCTGCACTCTTTTTGTTGTGTTGGCACACCTGCAATCGCATGTTGTGCTGCAACTGCTCACTTTCACCGACGTGGCTACTTGGGTCGACTGCCCTTCTTCTGGCACTGGCCCTGCATCTAAGGTGCTACTCACAAATCATGTTTTTGTTTTTTTCCTTGTGCTGCTACCTTAAGGCAAACAGAGACAAATTGGGGTTTGCTGCGCGCCCTTGGAAGTGGGCAAGTGCCAGCAGCATGCAATTGGGCTCAGCCAAGACTCCATTTTGCCTTTGGCTGCAACCGTGACAGCAGTGGCGTGCTCGGCAGCATTGCCGACAATTGGCAATAGGATTACGCCAATGAACGCTCCTGCAAGGCACTGTCCCTTCCTCTTTGGCCCAGCAGGATACTAGTCTGATGCGCTTCACGAGGAGAGGACCCCCAAACACAGTAACACTGGCCCCAAACACAGTAGCCTGTCATGCGTTGCCACCATTCACTCAAATTGCCAATTCGCCTTGGGCCCGTCCAATTTGACGGTGAGCCGTCCGCCTCTTTGACTAGCCTTCCAGGATAGGCTGCTAAATGGCAATCCTACAAGCTGTTTCGAAGGCTAGATCATGCATTCATCCCAGGAATACAATCAACCCCTGCTTTTGTTGACCCTGCCCAAATTTGCCACTGCCAAATTCCTTGCGTTGCGGGCTTAGCGGGGTTCGGTCCCACGACCATGGCACATGGGACAAGGTTGGCTGCTGACCGTCCCAATGCAATCGCACAATACGCAACACCTTCAGGAAAAAATGCCGAACCCTATCTCAAGGAGGCTTGGCCTTGACACACACTGCGTCCTGGCAAGCCATACTCCTCTGTGACGCCCTCGATGGAATCCACGAGGAACTCGGAGCATACCGCAACCGTGGCCGTGGCCCCAACGAGGAGAAGCACTGATGAGCACGCCGACATCACAACCTCCTATTGGCAAATGCCGACCAAGCAATGCGAAACAGAAAGTGGAACAGCGGAGACAACAATGCCTCAGCCAGTGCACTGCTTGGAAACCAGAAGTTGGGGAGCGACTCTGTCCTCATCTTCCTCGCCCTCAGAGGCGAAGAGGTGGGCATGGGTAAGCAGCTGGAAGATGAGAAACAGTACATAGACTGCCGCAATGACGGCAGAGGAGATGCGGGAAATGCTGAGCACATCCTCCATGGTTGCTCCAAAGACCACGGCTCACGTGTATGCTTGGTATCGGCCTCCCCCACGGCAATTCAATGAAACACATGGCACACACCATCACAAATATGCAAAGCATGCAATCTTCCCCTGGTGGCCCTGTCCTCCGTGGGAGTGTTCTCCATGCAGTTGTAGATGGTGGGCAATGCGAGCGCAATCGAGCCCAAGGTGAGGCAAGTCATATTAGCCGAGGCCCCTTTTGCGCTAAAGCGGCTCTCTTTTTCCACTATCCCAGCAGCAAAGAACGACATGCCCAGCACTAACAGCATGTTGGAGAGGATTGAACCTCGGCTCACGGCCAGCAAGCAGCTGCAAAATACCAACCTGTGCCAGGCCCTGAGCAACCATCGCACTTGCTGGAGCAGGCTGTCTCTTGGCCTAGCCCCTGCCACCCTTATTATTGCCCCGCCTAGCAAGCTCCCTTGCACCACCGTCACCAAGCCAGCTTTGATGGCATTCACTGTGACAATCATCTCTACCGCGTTTCCGAAGGTGGCGTTCAGCAAGCCTCCGATCATCTGTCCCGTGTGGGCAGCCAGGGATTCGGTAGAGGCGCCTAGTATCGCCGCTAATGGTACAATAGCCACGAAGTTGCAGGAGAAGCGTGCTGCAGCACTCCACTGCATCACGTGGCTGTAAATCCCGAGTGGCACGAAGACAAGCAAAATGTTTATCCAGGTGCATAACACTCCGGCTATGCCTTGGCACTCCTTGGCGCATCCATGTGGCTCCGGGTCGTAGGGCTCACCAACAGCCACGCTGCCATCAGGTAGGGCAGCGGCTTCGCCTGTGAGCACGGGCTTGTAGGCATACTGGTCGGAATATGACATCACTCCTGCAGGAAGAGCCATCAAGGGATGCAAGCATTGGCCCTAGGCCCCAAGCAACCTTGTTGGCAACCCCCTCCTTCTTGCCTGCTTTGGACAAAGTGCTGTCGACTGGAGTCCGCCGTGTGGCAATGCTGCTCATGCACTTGGCCAGCCTACAAATTCTGATTGCTTCAAGGTGTTTGCATGCGCGTTCTGTTTGGTTTGTGATGTCACTTGTCCTACAGCCCTGCGGATTGCTCGGGGTGGACCGAGTGTAGCTGTTTGTCTTGTCCTGCTGTGTGGCAAGCTGCCCTAATTACAGAGCAGGTCCCTCCCCCCAACTACATGAACAGCTCTGCACCTGGGATCACGGCACGGCGGAATCCACTAGCCATGCTCCAAAGCAGGGTGAGGAGTGCTTGCAAAGGTAATGTGCCAGCCATTGTGAATCGCCCGCACGAAACAAAGCATTCACAAATGAGATCAAATCCAAAAGGTGCATCTGGCATATCGGCGGAGCATTCCAGCCCCGCCACGCCTTCCAGCCGCGCTCGCTTGGCATCGGCCGCGACAGAGCTGGCATCGAGAATGCCAAGTCCAACAGATCAAAGGCAAGGCATGGCACGGGGAAGTGTTCACCGTTGTTTTTTCCATCTTCCTCATGTCTCGTCTAAGTGCACCAAGCCAGAGGGCGACACGGGTCTGAAGTCATCGAAGCAGCCCAGTCAGCAGCGCCAATCCTCAAACGCAACGATCTTCATGCCATGCTGAGATTTTCTGCGGCGGCCCCTGCTTATCTAGACTGCAACATTTGCCACACACAAATTTCACCCTTGGATAGGCAAAACTGAAGGTGCGTTTGAGGGGTGCGGTGGGGGCAGTTGTATCCAGAAAGCAGCCGTCCTTCTGCTTGGATGGGCTGCCGCCGCCTCAAGGAAAACGTCAAACCTCTCCCAGTGCTAAGCATAAGGTACTGGACATGTCATGTTGTTGGGTCCTCCCCGTCTTGTCTTTGACAACATTGGTAGGCAGTGTGTCCCGCGCAAACGCGGTCTTTGCTGGCATTCTGGGTGAAAACAAAAAGGGGCGTCCATATACTACAGGCACGACAAGGCACCTCGCTAACATCTGGCCACTCATGGCTGACCAGAGTCACCCAAATGGACACGCCGGCACTTGACTAGGGAGCTGGCTTCGGCGTCCTTACGCCATCTCTTGCGAGGAAGGCCGCATAAAGCTCGGGCCAGAACACTGAAGCCAGCAGTGTGACAGCAACCCGGGCATCCTGCCAACAATGCCAGCTCTGCATACTAGCAATCGTGCTGTCTCACTTCATGGTACAAACGTGCCCAGAATCACCAGCATCTCCATGCTTTCGCTATACTGCTCTCTCGATACGGATCAACAACGCAAGCCGTGGCCACACAGGCAGAACCCACTTCCCAAACAAGCGAACAACATGACGGCCCATACACTGGGCCTTTCATGAATTGGACGTCCGGCAAACATAGGGTGGAGAAGTGAGTTTGGCATCGTCTCCAGGCAGCCCCTGCATTGCACTGCTGGAGAGAACCCTCTCTTGGGCACAGTCGACCGAGCTTGCTTGCGCTCAGCTTCCAAGGCTGATTTGTGTTCCTTTGTCGTGCTTGCTCTCTCCAACACTGCGCTCAAGCCCTCACTCGTGGTATCGCACTGCCGCATCTCACCAAAACAGCAGTCTTTTGCGCGGAAGCCTCAGCTTCAATGCCATCAGCTCCCTCTCCCGCATCATGGAAGCAGCAGGAAAAAGCAAGCCACGGCGCTTGATCAAATGAGGTCTGCCACGTTCATGGGCATCTCATCGATCTGCGTTGAATAGAACCTGACGCACAGCCCGCTCATGTCACCATGCAACTGCAGTAGTAATTTCCCGGGGTTCCAGCTGTTCAATGTCACGCAGGATTCGAATGTCATCATTCCTGGGTGGCGGGTGGGCCTGTTTGAGGGGGCGCAAGTGACTCAAGTGACCTAGGGCGTCAGAAGCAGCACGCACTTCGAAGCCCGATCAGCTCACAAATGTTCTGCCCTAGGGCCCTAGTGACAAGCACTTGCCTTCAGGGTGACGAGTGCGGAAAGCAAAGCCAGTGATCGGGGCCCTTTGGAAATCGGAGCAACAAAGCCTAATTCTTCTTTTCTTCGGGGCCGGATCTGGCAATGCAGCCGTGCATCTTCACGAAGTTGATGGCCACACCTTTTCGGCCAAATCGCCCAGAGCGGCCAATTCTGTGGATGTAGAGCTCCCGGTTGTTGGGCAAGTCGTAGCAAATCACCAGGGAGACCTGCGCAAGTGAGCAAGAGACTTTTGGGTCCACTATGGTCCACTCAAATGATCCCCTCAATGGTGGGTTAAAAGGAGAACCACCCCAAATGTTAAGCTGAGAACCCTCCCCCAAGTCACCAAGCCACAGGTCGTGTCACAGGCCCTTTGCAGCCTGCTGCACATCGAGACCTCGACCCCAGAGGTCCGTGGAGATGAGCACACGGCTGGTGCCAGAGCGGAACCTAAGTCTTGGAGCGGCTGGGGCACGCCAGCGTGGATGTGCTTCTGAATAGGAAAATTCGAGTCACACTTATGCAAACGGTTTTGCTTCGGCCCATGCGGTTTTTGCGTGGCCGGTGGGAGGTGAGCAAAACAAATTCGCACAAGGCCAACTCCTCCAATTAGGTGAAGTCACTGTTGCATAATGGCGTCGCGCTCTTTCTGGGGCATGTCGCCATGAATGGAAGCCACCTCAGCCGTCTGCGCGTGCATGCCATCTTTTTCGATCCAGGATTTATGAACCTGGTGGATTAGGCGGGGAAAAAGTCACTCTATTGATCAAATACAGTTTATTAATCCTGGGTTCCCGGTAGGCCCCAGGCAGTAAAGTTGGCATCGCGCATCTTCTGCGTGAGCCAGTCCACCTCTCAACATCCACTTTCAACAACAGGTTGTCTTTGCTTGATGCGAGGAGCTGGGCTGGGAAAAAATCCATGACCCAATCTTTGTGGTCCACCTGCTGAAGAACCAAATGCAAACTAATCATTCAAAGGGTAGCCACAAACAGCCAAGTGCCCTTGCATCCCCTGGCCTTCTGTTTGGTGTTGCAGAAGATCACAGCCTGTCAACTGGCTCCCTCAGTCAAATGACCTTCCTGTCCTGCACGACACTTCTGCACTGACCCTTCGCCTGTGTGATGGTGAGGGTATCGTACCTTAGCTTGCCGCGCTACCTGGTTGAACCGAAGGAAGCCAGCCAATCAGACAGCCAGGGAGCAAATCGCAAAGGGTGTCGAATTTCCACCTGAGTTTTGTCCAAAGGGCCGTGTCACACGCTGCTGGGCAAGTTCCCACGGCAAGTCTCAGTGAAATTGAGTTCTCTCGGTACCCTTAAGTTATTCAGAGGCCTGAATAATGCAACGCTTGCCAAAATACTGCCAAATCCCAATGCTATTTCTCTGCGGGCATTTCTGGCATTCTGCTACGTCAGATTTTCAAATGCGCCACGGAAAGAGCCGGTCAAGCGTTCGACGGCACTACCCAAGCGACCAAGGCCAGGCAGGCATCTCTGTCGCTGGCAGGGAGTAAAAGTTACAGGCTCCTCCGAATGGCTGGATTTGTTTGCAGTGATTCGGGGCTGGAAACAGTCTCATTTCTAGTGCTTTGTTTGCAGCCGCATTCTCTCAATCTCCGGGAGAATGACTACCTGCCCTTACGGACGTGCAAAGTATAATATATTATACCCAAGGCCTGTGGTCGTAGGCGTTAATTCTATGATCGCACATGAGCCAAGCGTCTGCTCGCGCTCCACGGCCACGAAGAACTGCTTGATGCCCTCCAGCGTCAGCCTAGAGATTTCGTGCTCTTGTCCGCTTCGCTGATACTCGATGTTCACTGTTTGTCAATTAGGTCAACGCAACCTCGAGACACTCAATGACTCAAACCAGTTCTGCAAGCAATCGCAGGCCCAAAAGCTCATCACGCTTGACCAGCACCCGGAAGGGGTTGTTCCTTGGACATACGGCTCTATACGGCTCTGTGCGAACTGGAGCAGCTGCTCAATTCAGGTTACTGCATCGTCACTGCAACCAAGGCGCATGAACTTGTGTGTCATCTCGAGGACCTCATGCCTTAGCTGCACTGCAATTCCATCGGCGACGGCTGTCGCTCCAGCTGCCAAGCGGCGGCATGGTGGCGGAGACAAGCACCACCTGCGCGCGAATGGCGTAAGGCATGAAAAAGCATCAAGCAACCCGGTTCCGCCTGCGTGGAGGGAGGGAGGTATCGGTAGATGTCATAGACCTGCTCTTTGAAGCCCCTGGCACCATGTGGCAGCCACAACAGCTATTCAAGCATCGGGCTGCCAGTTTTAGAGATAAGCGTTTTTTCCTTAAATTACTCCCTTACCAAGGTGGCCAGCACCATGATGTGATGAATGCTGCTCACACAAACAAGGCCAGCCTATTCAGCATCTCATCCGCTTCGTCCAGGACAAGCATCTTGATATGGCGCGTGCTGAAATGCCGCTGCCTCGGCGCATGTGCAGCCGCGGAACAAGCATCAAACAAAATGAAGGCGCAGGGGTTGCGGCGTTAAGGGAACGGGTGCAGTCTATGCCGTAGGCGTTTGGTGACGAGGCTTGCTTCCAAGGAGCTGAATCATGTGAAAAACTCTGCCGGGGGTGCCAGACACAATCTGCACACCTGCTTCGAAGGTGTGGATGTCGTCTGAGACCCGCTTGCCGCCGATGCACACATGAACCTGGACATTGAGGTAGTCACCTCAGAAAAAGATGCTCGGACAAATCCTCAATGTGCCTCTCCTGAGGTAAAAGGCGGCAGGATCCTGTTGCCCCAGCATGCCACGTACCATTGTGAACCAGGACGACAAGTTCTGTAGATTCAAACCTTTCTGTGAGGCTCTGGATCCCGACAGGAAGTCTACTTTGGCTGTGAGCGACATTGGCCGAAAGCACGGTTTGTGGAGAGTTGCTTTTCAAGTGCCAACCGCGGGAATGGGCGAGATTGCTGAATCCACGGGAATGCTGAAACGCGACACGGGCAACCTCCCATGTTGAGCGAGCCTAGGCGATGTCATCATTCAACTTCGCACAATGCACTTACCACTGTCTAGCTGCCAATCATTGCTGGAGCACGGTGATGTAAACTAAAACTCTACAGCACCCATTTCCCCCAAGCCGCAAGCACCTAAGCGTCAAGCGTAGTAAGACGAGAACTCTGTGCTCGTTTCAGCACGGAAAGCCGCTGCACGCCGAGCAGCCCAATGCCAAGCAGACCTTCTGACTCTGCTCGGCCAGCTCTCGGGTGGGAGACAGGAAGAGCGCCTCAATCAAATTATCCAGGCACTGGGAAACGGGCAAAGAGCTCCAGTCTCAACTTGCATAAGCGCCGCACCTGCGGCTCCCGGGAAGTGGTGTCCACTGTCTGCAGGGCCCCCAAGGCGAAGACGCAGGTCTTTCCTGTCCAGTTTTCCATGGGTTTGCCGGTGATTTGATGTTTGGCTGGTTTGCGGTATTTCTTTGTTGATCTGTCTTTGCTTGCAGCGCCAGCCCATATCGGCCTGTTCCGCTTTGTGACTGGACGATCACATCCCGGCCCTTGAGGATGGGAAGGATGGCTCGCTGCTGCACGGCTGAGGGCCGCTCAAAGCCTTGGAGGCCCACAATCACAAAATGACAAACAAGACCAAGCAAAACCAAGACCAACTTAGCCCCAGGCCATATGCATATACACCTCGCAGTAAGTCCTCCTTCAGCCCCAATGCGTCGAAGGTGGGCAAAACTTCGACATCCTCCGAGGTCTCGAAAACGAGACCCTCATCATTCGGGCCTTTCGACATGACCTGAGCAACCAGTTTAGAAGGACGGACGCTCCGTGGTATGGAAAATAACTGAAAGGCAGATGACGAAGCACGCACGAAACAAATGCATGCGCGTGGCGTAGGCGAAAAGACCTGTAAATACAACCTTGCAGGGGCCTGGTCGGAGCCGTCCGGAGCGTTCTCAGAGCACGTTTGGGAGCCATCTCGGAGCACTCTCAGCGCGGGCCCATTGGCAGGGACGCGCGCGTTTTTAGAAACTTGGTTGCGTGGCAGAGCAGCACTTGGCAAGGTCATGCGCAGATTTCGTGGCAGGCGTTAAGCTTTCGTAAGGTCAGGCGCAGACTTCGCGCAGCACTTTCGCACGGTCACAGATTTCGTAGCAATCGTGAAACTTTCGCAAGGTCAAGCGCACATTTCGTGGCACGCGGGATGCGTTTTCGCGCGGCCCTGCGCAGGTTTCGTGGCCAACGCAGCACTTTTGCAAGGTCGGCGCAGTTCGTGGCAGGCGCACTTGAGGGGCGCGAGAAACAGAGAGACAGAGAGACAGAGAGACTTCTGAGACAGAGAGACAGAGAGGCAGACAGAGAGCCAGAGAGACAGAGAGGCAGAGAGACACTGACAGACCGACCGACCGACAGGCGGGCAGACAGACAGACAGCCAAAGACAGACAGATAGAGAGCAAGAAGGATAGATGAATGGATAGGCAAAGTAGGTAGGAGAGATAGGACAAAAGGAAGGAAGAAAGAAAGGAAGGAAAGAAAGAAGGAAGGAAAGAAGAAACAAAGTGACATATTTTGCGCAGTGAAACATCCGGCTCGCGCCCTCCTGGACCGAATGCAAGGCGCTGGTATTCAAAGCACCCCTCCTGACAGAGAGGCACTCATGACCTTCGCAAACGTCCGCGCTAACTTGCTAGCTCCTCGGCTCTTGGCTGAATCTCTACGCGCTGCCCAACCATAGCCCGTGAGCTTCATGTGTTGCGTACGCAATCAACCGCCAGCGACTTGGTACAAACGTCAGCTATGTCTTGGTTCGCTCCCACTTTCTCAAGAGCAACCTCATTGTTTGCCAATCGTTCTTGAATCCAGAAAACTCTTGTTTGCGCACGCCGCGACTTCCCAAAACCTTGACGCTTGCAAGTACCGAAAGCTGCACTTACGTCAATATGAACCTTCAGCTTGGTCTCGATGTTCGCACCGCGCAAGTTGCGAATCCAGCAGTTGACCAGATTCACCAGATGCAAAACTCAGCGCAGAACGCAAGTTGCTGCAACGCTTGATCAAACCTTTGCCGTATATCGGGCGCACTCCAGTTGCACTCTTTCGCGTCAACAAACAACCTGCAAAGTCGGCACCTGCGTCCACTGCAATTGCGTCGCGCAATTTCTGCGCCGAAGCTTCTGAATACTCGCATTGCGCCACGCAAATACTGACTGCTTCAGCTCCGTGAAGTCTGCTCCTCCTGGCAGAGCACTTTGCAGCCCCTCTGCGAGAAAAGTGATCTTGCCGCCTGCGTGACTGTCGACCGTGAAAAGGTCACTTGGTCTTGCGCCTGGAGTCTTTCGTCGCTACATCAGCGGCTGTCCGCTTCTTGTTGGAGAATTAACTGGCTTGCTCTTCTGCATCATCTCATTGTGACGCGTTCGCAGAATGAGGCGATAAGATTCTAAACGCAGATGTTGACGGCCCTTACCATGTCCTCCGCTACCATCAAGAGACGGACTCGTAAATCGCCTTCAACGTCTCTCCATGTTGTTGTGGCCTTGCTCGTCTGCACAAAAAACTTTTGGGTCGAGCAAGGTCGTCCATTCGTCCCAAACTGTAGCGTCCCATCCCTCTGGGCTTGAGGTGTAAGCGCCTCCAACTTCCCAGCCCCTTTGCCGGGCGTACAATGAACACAAGGTCCGTTTGCTTCCAGGGTTTCCTTTTGGCCGGCCTTGACCTTTTCCTTTTGCCCTTTGGTGGACTGGCCGTTGCTGCCGCTTATAAGCACGTTGTGAGGTTCTTGTGGAGTTCTTTGCGCATCCTCCATATTCAAGATCTGACCCATGGCCTGCTTCGTATCCATATGTCTGCCTGACCACTTCGTCCGTGACAGCGGCCAGGAGAACCTCTCCGAGCGGACGGTTGACAAGTAGGAGGTCATCTTGATCGGAGAGAAACTTCTCAGGCTGATTGTCCAGCAAGGTCACTTGCTCTCTGGACTTCAGTGCCGCGCTCCCTCTGAGCCCGCATCAGCTCAGCCAAGATGGGGCCGCCAGGCCCGGCCGAAGGGCCCCATCCCACTCCCCCCGCCTTGCTGAGAAAGTCGCTTTGTGTCGCCTTTGCCACGCCGCTTGCGTCTCAATGATTGCTGCTGCCTTTTGCTCCATTGTGGGTGTCGCCATCAGTGCCTTGTGTGTGGGATCGCCCGAGGGAGACGACCCAATAGTGGACGCGAGCAAGTGCTGCCCTAGGTGGTACGTCGCACGGTCGTAGGCACATCAAGCAGTTGACTGAACGGACTGATCAGACAGCTTGGACGCATTGGATGTATACCGGACCGATCAGACGGATTGGAGAGGACTGAACGGACCGCAAGGTTGCGGCGCCAGATCGTGCGGGGATCGGGGGACAGACCGGGCTTGGAAAATGAGGGGCAGCGCCCCGCGGACTGATTGGATGGATCGGACGGATCGGACGGGGGAGTGGGGGTCGTGCTACTAGCGGCAGAGCGTTGGACTGAACTGAGACTGAATGATCGGATCGGGAGGGTCGTGCTTGGGGCTGGGAGAATGAAGGGCAGGGCTGGGATCGGGAGACTGCTCAGACACGAAGGACCAGCGGCAGACCGGGCTTGGGAAATTAATGAAGGGGGGCCCCGTCTTGAGCGGAGTGGTCGGACTGATCGGCCTGATCGGACGGGGACTGGTCGGACTTGGAAAATGAGGGGCAGCCATTGGCTGGATTGGATGGATTGGACCTGATCGGACCGGGGTCGTGCTTAGGGCCAGCGGCTTAGGAAAAAGCAGGGCAGGGACCCGCACTGAAGGGCAGGGCTCCGACTGATCAGAGTTGGGGGGACTGCTCGACTTGATACGAAGGCGATCGGACGATGGGATTGATGGACAGATCAGACTGCTCGGGCTGCTTGCCTGATTGGACTGGGCTGGGGGCCTGCCTGGGATATTGCTCTGACACAAAGGGCCAGCGGCAGACCGAACTTGGGAAAATGAAGTGATTGGCGTGATCGGACTGGCAGGGTCGTGCTCGGGGTTGGGGACTGCTTGGAATGATACGACGTTGTGAAAGATCCTGCGCAGCCTTTTAAAGGGCTGAAAAGCTGAGCCTGCGCGAACCTCCTGGCGCACACTCCCTCAAACCAGGGGGCTCTGCGACATTCCGCAACCAGGATGAAATATTACGCAGCAGGAAATGTTTCTTCAGCCAAAATGGCAGTCGCAGTGAAACATCAGGCTCATGCACTCCTGGACCTTATGCAGGGCACTGGAAACCATCTTTGCCATATTTGCTTTGAAACGTCCACCCACTGATAAAACAAAGCAACACGCGCTGCAGACAGAAAAGGGCATCTGTGTGGCCGATTGCGGCCAAGACTCGCACTAGCACTTTTCGGGAACACGCCGTATCCGGAAGAGGGTGCCTCTTGAGCCACCCACGTAGCTTCACGTTCATTAGCCACCCGGCCACACCAATGGACAAAAGGCACGCGTTTGTGCAATGCAGGCGCAGCTTCCACTCGGCATGTCCAGGTTCTGGCACTGTCCTCCGTGTTGGATTTCCAAATGGCTTCTCTGGGCGGCCTGCTGATCAGAAAGGATATAAACCGTGCTAAAAAGCAAATCACGTGAAGACTTCCACTCCGTGACCCAAATATGGAAATACATGAAGCTCCAACAAAACCACACCTTTAGAACCAGGCTGCAACCTCCAACCAACCACCGCCAACCAATTTCCGACCACGACCACCTCCAACCACCCCCCGACCACCTCGCGACCACCTCCGACCACCTCCCGACCACCTCCCGACCAGCCTTCAACCACGCAAGGCCACGGTGACGGGAACAAGCCCAAAACATTCTGGGATTGAGCTTCCTAATAAGGAATTTTGGAAATCCAACACACAGCGCAAAACCCTGTGAGCTTCACATTGAAAAAGCGGCAACAAGGCGTGAAAACATGCCCACGGGCTGCAAACCATGCCGATCTTGCAGAAGTGTGCGTCCCCTGGAATACAACATGCACTGCCATCCCCAACCCCAACTCGGAAATCAAGGGCCCCTCCATTCAATCCACTGTAGCCACAAAGAGAAAATCTAGAGGTCCGTTGAGGGCATAACTGAGAGGGTGGTATCACCGCCAAACACCAAAGTCGCACCGAATGGTACACGCTTCAAAGCCATAAATTAGGGGTCTGTTGGTCTTGGTCTTCGTGAAGACAGGAAGGCTTGTCTGCTTGGTCAACAGTCAATGCTGAAAAATATGATCTCAGTCCTTTCATCGCGGGTCTCACCAGCTCAGACACCCGCAACGCCATGCCGGAACCAACTGTTTCCGGTGCATTTTGGAGAGACCTGTGCGGAAAAACTAACACAGGCTCGAAGACGGAGCACCCAAAACAAATACTGAAACCTTACACTCTTGAGCCGCTCTGACAAGCAATGTTTGCCAACTGAATGCAAGCTACGACAAAACGAGACAATAAAACCCTTCAGACTTCATCGTTGCCAAAGACAGGAAAGCTTCTCTGCTTGGTCAAGGCTGGTAGTCAACAGTCAATGCTGAAAAATATGATCTCAGTCCTTTCATCGCGGGTCTCACCAGCTCAGACACCCGCAACGCCATGCCGGAACCAACTGTTTCCGGTGCAATTTGGAGAGACCTGTGCGGAAAACTAACACAGGCTCGAAGACGGAGCACCCAAAACAAATACTGAAACCTTGCACTCTTGAGCCGCTCTGACAAGCAATGTTTGCCAACTGAATGCAAGCTACGACAAAACGAGACAATAAAACCCTTCAGACTTCAGCGTTGCCAAAGACAAGAAAGCTTCTCTGCTTGGTCAAGGCTGGTAGTCAACAGTCAATGCTGAAAAATATGATCTCAGTCCTTTCATCGCGGGTCTCACCAGCTCAGACACCCGCAACGCCATGCCGGAATCAACTGTTTCCGGTGCATTTTGGAGAGACCTGTGCTGAAAAAGTAACACAGGCTCGAAGACGGAGCACCCAAAACAAATACTGAAACCTTGCACTCTTGAGCCGCTCTGACAAGCAATGTTTGCCAACTGAATGCAAGCTACGACAAAACGAGACAATGAAACCCTTCAGACTTCATCGCTGCCGAAGACAAGAAAACTTCTCTGCTTGGTCAAGGCTGGTAGTCAAGAGTCAATGCTGAAAAATATGATCTGTCCTTTCATCGCGGGTCTCACAAGCTCAGACACCTGCGCTGCCATGCCGGAACCAACTGTTTCTGGTGCGTTTTGGAGAGACCTATGCGGAGAACGAACACAGGCTCGAAGACAAGTTACGACAAAACGAGACAATGAAACCCTTCAGACTTCATCGCTGCCGAAGACAGGAAAGCTTCTCTGCTTGGTCAAGGCTGGTAGTCAAAGCTTTCATCGCGGGTCCGCCATGCCATGCTGGCCAACTATTTCCGATGCATTTTGGAGGACCTGTGCGGAAAACTAACACAGGCTCGAAGACGGAGCACCCGACACAAGTACTAAAACCTTTCACTTATCAGCCTGGCTGACAAGGAAGGTGTACTCTAAAGATCACGAGACAATGCCAAAAGATGTGATCTCGGTCCTTTCATCGCTGCCAAAGACAGGAAAGCTTCTCTGCTTGGTCAAGGCTGGTAGTCAAGAGTCAATGCTGAAAATATGATCTCAGTCTTATCATCGCAGGTCTCACCAGCTCAGACACCCGCAAATGCATGCCGGGACCAACTGTTTCCGGTGCATTTTGGGGAGACCTGTGCGGAAAAAGTAACACAGGCTCGAAGACGGAGCACCCAAAACAAATACTGAAACCTTGCACTTTTAGCCGCTCTGACAAGCTGGGCATGCGCTAAAGGTCGCTCAATCTTTGCCAACTGCGTGCAAGCTACGACAAAACGAGACAATGAAACCCTTCAGACTTCATCGCTGCTGAAGGCAGGAAAACTTCTCTGCTTCATCAAGGCTGGTAGTCAAGAGTCAACTGTTTCCGGTGCATTTTGGAGAGACCTGCGCGGAAAACTAACACAGGCTCGAAGACGGAGCACCCAGCACAAGTATACATACATTCCCTAGACTCCAAGAGTGGTTGAAGTCAATCGCTTTGAAACTAGATCGTGCTATTACACACCTCTTGCTGATAGCTGTGCCCTTGCACGTTGAAAAGGAGGGAGCCCGTTCGCACGGACAAGTGCGTAGCCAAATCCCCTCAAAAAATATGGATCCCCTAGCAATAGAATCTGTTCGGCCCTCTAACATTGCTTAATTTAGTCAAAGGTTTTGAGGTCACGCTAAACGGTCACACTTCAAATTTGGAGAAAGGGCTCGGCCCGACCAGAGGCCCAAAAGCATTTGAACGTTCCACATGAATCAAGCCACGCGCGCAAAGAGCCCCAACTTTAGCCATGAGCCCAGGCTCGCAAAAGAGAAGCTCTCCTACAAGCTGCACTGTAGCCTAAGTGGGTCGTGTCAAGGGTGCCTGCTCCCCTGTGCGCACTGACCCCAAACCCAGCTAGTCCTCACGTTGCAGGACCACGAAGCAAGTAAGCATGTCAGTCATTGTTTCAAGGGGGGCCCACGGCCACTGGCCTACATGGGCAACTGCAGGCTGGGCTGAGAGTGGAGTGGGGGAGGCCCAAGACAAAGAAGCTTCAAGGCGAGAGCAGAGCAGGACACAAGAACGCACGCTAAGATGTGTTGAAGAGGAGCGCGCAGTTGTCGCGCTGATGCCCATATCCAAGTGCGAGTTTTCACTGCGCATCAGTGTCCATAAGCCTGACCCAAATCATGACTGTTCCCTCGGTGGTTATTGATGAAGGGGACTACCAGTCAGAATACGATCAACGTGTTTGTTCTGCCTGGCGGCCAACTTGGCTCAACCAGCCATGGTAAAATGAAAAATGTATTCTAGGTCTACCTCAGGCAAGTCCAACTCAGGAAGTGAATGGTTCAGCTTGAAACCCTTGGCAATGGACCCGTCCGGGACACCCATAAGCTTTTCTCTGCTGGAGCCCCTTTTGTTGTGGGTAGGGGGGGAGGGCGGTTGGATGTCCAGTGGTGCCATCTTCAGTGTCAGAAAAGTCTCGAGACTGTTGGAATTGATCGGCGAAACACGCAAACGACACCCAATGCTTCCAGTTAAATACCGTAAGAACCAAAAGGTAAGAAGCCCGATGGGGTACCTGTGGCGTACCGGAAGCCCTGCGAAGGGGCAAAAGGGTGTGCCCTGGGTGCCCTTATGGCAAAATGCCCTGGTTAATGGAAGGCATGCAACCAATCTGAACCAGCGCCGTCTATTTCTTACCAAACTAACCTTAACCGCCGGGGTGTGGATGTCATCAAGGACCTAGTGGGTTTGTCTGAAATTGGGGACCCCCAAAGAAGGGTGGTTCCACCCAAGTAAAAGCTCCTACTTGTTAGTTGACCGTGCGAACCATGCGGTCCAACGATGGACCTGGATGGGGACCCACAAAGCGCCCTGTCTTTTCAGTCTCTTTCTCCATGGGTCCCCCAGGGCTCAATAGAGGGCCATGCCATGCGTGGTTAGAGCTTATAAAATAACAGTTCCCTCATGCGGGCCAGGCTGTTTGGCCAAGGTTCTGAAAAAGGTGGCTGGGGGGATTAGTGAACAAAACACAAGCGAACATGTGCAAATTCACCCAAACTAATTCCTTGCTGTTTGCGCGAGTTTTCCATGGAATATCAAGCCAGAACCCCTAAATCCACCTTCATCCCCACCATGAAGGGACAACAGGCACCACGGCTACCAAATCTCAAGGGTAGAAAATTGGCAAATGGCATTGTTTGGTTTGCAATTTCAAAAGCCCACTGTTCTAACTGTTGCAGGAACTCAGAAATTGGAGCGGATTGCGGGGGGTCTGAAGGAGGACTGGGCATGGATTGGGCAATGGGGGGGGATTGTGGGCGACTCATCAGTGCAATGCGCTAAATGGGTTCGGCTTTCCTTGTGCGTGCGATTCCGACCCAACTGATCAAAGGGCATTTCCCCCTGCAGTAGTGGGGGCAAAAACCGAAACCCGTCCCATTTGATTAGTTTGCGCACAGGCCTACAAAAGGGCCTCCACAGGGCCCAACGATCTGTTACCAAGCTTGTACACGTGGAACGTTTGATTAGTGAGCTAAAGGTCCCAAAGGATTGCCGAAAAAGCGAGCTCCAAAGGTTTGCACTGCCCTCATTCAAACACAATACTGGGAGCAACCTGAAGGGTTGCCCTTCGGCGAGCTCTGCTACGCCCCTCTTTGGAGAAGCCAAGCCTGTTACGAACTGGGCGAATGACCCGTCACAAAGTCCAACTTAAGTTTCGGCCTCGGTGGCCACACACTGTCACTGTTTGGGCCATACTTGTTTTGTTTTTTCCCCAGAAGCGGGCGCTGCATGTTGAAGCCTCAAAGCCTGACTGAAGTCCAAAAACCTTGGGAGCGACTTGTTTTGTCCGGCACAACCCCTTTGCAGTCTGAAGTTAATCAGTGGTGGGTTGCTTGGATGCGCGAAGCGTATGTACCACTTTTGCAGCACTGGGAAACAAGGGAGAGACGCCCCAAAAAAACATCAGCAAGTGCAGCGCCCACTGATTTCCACGCGGCCAACAGGGGTTGTGCGTGAAGTGAGACCTCGTCGGCTTCTGCAGAGGGGCGTCTCAAGGTGATCAAGGTGATTCTGATGCGGTGGAGCCCTCAGTCCGATGGATCAGACTTGTGAGGTGTCAAGCCTTGGAGTCTCCTTCCGACCCTTCAAAAATGGCTTGCCGAACACCCAGGTCATGCTTTGTTGGTGCAGACCACAAGAACAATGGACATGTCGAGGAAATAGACTGTAGACACAAAGTACAATCTGCTGCAAGGAGTTTTCAAGACAAGCAATCCGTCGGAGGCTCGACGGTGGTGAATGCCCTAAATACAGAAGAAGAGAACACTGGAAGCCCTGTAAGCTTTGTTGTTGCATGCGTTTAATTAAAATGTTTGCAATAGAGCCACTTGCATCACAAAAAAAGGCGTGTGTTGTGTTTTCTTGTTTACCGCATCCAAACGCCGATCTCCGACTAAACAGAATTTCAATTCAGAATCAAGTACGCCCAAGAACAATGACTTCCGGTTTAACTTGCATTTTCCTCAATAAGAACAAACCCCGCATACACACACATCGCGCCTGCAGGAACACACTTCAAACGCTTACCCCACTGCAGGCGTCCTTGGGCCATGTATGAACCGCTAAGGCAGCATGTGTCCTATTTGGTCTATCCCAAAACTGGACTTCTCCTTTTGTTTTTCCTTTGAACCAACCAGAGGGTATCCCTGTGACAACACAGGCCCATCTACATCCAAGGGTCCATGGCCTGTCTGATCAAACCAATTTTGTTCTGTCAGGTGTTGCTCGCCACTGCTAGCACTGGAAGCAACCATGGCACCCTCATGTTCCCTGAGATTTCTCCGGCTTTTCCAGTTCCTTCCGGGTCGTTGCGGCTAACGGCCTGACTTCTGCATCGCTTGAGTCCAAGCTGCGCTGCTCCTCAGACTCCAAGGACTTCACGGGTTTGGTCCTCAGCTCAACGTTGAACCAACGCGCGCCTGCCATATCCAGGGACCCCCACACCCCAAGCGGACGAACCGCTTGGCAACCTGCAAGGGACACTGAGGGAGACATGAGAAAACAAAAAACGCGCCAGCGCACTTGTCCAACGAGTCCCCTTCAAGGCGCACTTCAAATCAGTTCCCCGAGGGAACCTTCACGGATTACCCCCGGAGTGGGCGAGAGCCCCTTTGGCCTTCCTTTTGGGTGACCCCATGTGTTAAAGTGTCAGAAGGAGACTCCAAGTACCTTCGCAAGACACAGCTGTGCATTTGGAAGGATACCTAGGGCCGCGGCGCCATGGCTGGTTCTCTGACTGCCGCTTGAGCCAGTCAGCAACATCCAATTCTCTCATATATGCGAGGTGACTATTAGTGACGACTTGTGGCCTAGGGCCCACTAAGGACCATCAAGGGCCACAACCGTCCCATGGCTCCGTCCAACTTGTGGCCTGGAATATCAATGTTTGAAGCGGGATCTCCGTGTTCACTCTTGAGGCGGTCTCCATATACTCCCCTGTTCGGCGATTGTTCAACAAAATGCGTAAGAACCACCATCCCCTTTCAAGAATAGGCAAAGGAGCCCGTTCCCTTCTTTTTCGTGGGGATTTGGGTTGGGCCGGTGGTTCCCGCTGGCCAATCATCCTGATAGTTGTCAAAATGCCCCATGAAGGCACTCATGACCGTCCTTACCCAGGCCACCAGGCCACCCCTTTAATAACAAAAGCGTTCTGATACCGTGTTTTGACAAGGGCACACATATCCGGCGGCTGTAAACTGATGTCACTTCCGACGCTAGAGGCGAGACCAGCCCAAGGCCTGAAAAATTTTGACGCTTGGTCTCAAGCTTGACACTTCTCCCTACCAAAACGGTGAGCTCCTGGCTAAACAACATGGCGGAAACCCAAATGTTCGGGGTCCCAGCTGAGTCGAGGCCCCAGAAAGGTTTAGGAATGAACTTAGGGTTTCCCGTAAAGGAAACGATGGGGGATTGTTTATAGCGGTCATTTTCTCGATCCCTGCTGCAACCAGCAAGACAAATGCTTTCGATGTTCAAAACCCTGGGCCATTCTCTACTGAGCACCAGCAAGTTGTCCAAAGCGTTTGTTTAACTTTATTTCAAAGCTGTTTAGACGAGAGGCAGCCCATACATTTCCGTGTCTTTTTCGCCTTCCTGCCACAGGCACGTCGGAGACAAAACAAACCTCTCAGAGATCAGCGATGGTGACTTCCTTAGACAGCCATTGGAATGCACTTTTTTGCCGATTCGAGTTGACATAATATCCCACAAAAGGGGTTGACCAAAAACACTGATATGGGTGTCTTTTTGAGGGTACCCCTTTTTTTGTGGCTGTAAAGGGAAACCACAGGAGAACCCACCTTTGTTTCTTTTTTTTTGGGCAGGGGGGGTGCCTAAAAACAAGACACACCCATATAAGGGAAGGCCATCCTAATCAACGCGCATCCAACCCCCCTCCCCCCCTTTCAGGGGCCTTTGCCCTTTGATTCTTTGGAGTAGCAAATTCCCACCTGGGCCGCTTGAATTGCCGCACTGTACTTCGACTGGTCAACACAAGCATGGCGGTGTCGATTGGTGAATTAGATTGGCGGTTTCAACTAGTCATCGGTCAGGGTGACCGGGTAACCTATTATAATTCGACCTGAAATAGGGGACCCTGCAAGAACGGAACTTCAAGTTATCGTTTCAGACCACAACTTTTGCAAGGTCACGATTTCGTTTGGCCAGGTTGGATGTTGACCTCTGGTTCACCGTCGTACCTCGAACTCAAGCCACCAAGGGCAAGGTCATACCACTGGGATTGCAAAGCTGAGCATCGGATTCAATGCGCAAAACCCATGGACTTTGGCTTGCTACCGGGATGCCTGCAAAGACCGAGCATGATCATATCAACCGATGATTTGCAGTCGCATGTTCCAACTGCGCGATCCTTCTCTCTGTGTGTCATGGCAACTAGTGCTCCCAGTGAAGCATTGGCCGACTTCCCCAGTAAAGAGAAGGACTTATGGTTGCCCTGCCTGTGACACCAACGTGGCTGATTCCCATGACAACTTGGTAACGTGAAAGGGGATTCCCTCAAATGCATGCAAAGAACTGAAAGGGCAGATATCTGATATCTGCAACAATTTATGGTTGGGACTGTCCCTGACAAACCATCACTTACACGGTTTTGATTGCTCAAATGAGATATGGAGCCTCCATATGTTGGGCAGATGTCCCTTTGGTCTCCCTGTATGACCCCAAAACGCATATTCTGAGAAAGGGTTGTTGTAAGTACATTGCCTTCAAGAGGGTATCAACAGGTGGTCCGCCCAGCGACCATCACTTTTAAATGTGATACCATGAAAGGATTCCCATCCCATGACTCAAACAATCTTAAACCATTTTTGGTTCCGCATCGACTGCCGCGTTTGGTTCCTCAACCAAAACATGAGTATGTCGATTCAATAGCAAGCCTGAGCTGAACCCAGAGTCTGATCCAAAATCTGTCTGCCCAACGGAGGCGACCGAAAAGGCAAAAGATGTGCAGGGATCCTTACATTATACACCTGAACATTGCCTTGTCAATGGTGGTGTCCCCTTATTTTGGTGGAAAAAGCCATGTTTCAATTGAGCAAATGTATCTTTTAAGGAGCCCTGAATGTGCAACTAGTTCAAAAGTCTCCCTCTTCCATTCCTCTGTCTCGCACTGACTCACTCATTTCCTTGGGCCCCCAACGACTTCCACACCGGACAAATTTTAGAACGTCCGGGGCCTGCCTCTCAACATTGGCGATGGGAAAGGTTTCTCCTTTGTGGGGTGTAAAGCGAAATCAAAAACAGCCCAAAGAGAAACCACCCATGTGGGGCCCCTATTTTGAGACATACAGTCTGGGTTTCGGCCTAGATGTCTGCTTGTTGGGCATGGAAGTTCTAGTCGCACATCCATCGCGCTGGTCGAATCTAAGGCGCCAAACCTTGTCTAGTGCCATCTGTTTAAGCCAACAGCACATCAGGGCCAATCAACACGAAAGAAAAAGCACCAAGACTGCGAGGTTCTGGATTTCAGGCGAAAGACAAACAAGAAGGTTGGCGTTGGCATCTAATGTTGGCCACCGACTCAATCAAGGTATAGTAATAAGGGATATGATTTGGGCTTACCTAGTCTGGTCTCAGCACATATCTCCCACCGCCTCCCAAAGATTTCGCAGGTGAAACTGCTAGGTTGATCCTCCCAAGGAAATTCTTCAGAACCCTCGAAACTGCCTTTCTATGGGCGTGTTTCAACACTACCCCACAGCGCAAATCAAACACGAGAGAAGATTCAGATGTTGCTCTCCCAACTTTGCTTGAGGAGCTGGGTGATGGCACAATTTGCCAGCAACGAGTGTCCAAGGAAAGGATGTCACCATGTACTTCCTCAACATTGTTAATATCTGGGTAAACTATCAACACATTACCCTCCACTCAAAATGGAAGCTTCAGATCATTGAGCTACCCAGCTCGCCTGGGTGTGGCATTCCGCTCTTTCTGGCCTTTTCTCAGCATGCTGCGACGGCTAAACGATCCGAATCGCAGCCTGCGACAATCACGGTCTGGCACACCGATGGTGATGCGTGATGCCCTGGGAGTGCTTACTTTGCCTCCAAGCCTGAGCTGCCTTCCTTGTTTTGAAGGCGCCGGCTAAGCAACGGGTTGGCTTTCAACAGAAGCCTGGCCGCCTTGGGCGGCTCAGGAGGCTCTTCCGGCCGCAAGAGCTCTCGCGGCTCTGAGAAGTCACTGGTGCAAATCGACTCGGTGACGCTGCGCCGGGTGAACATCCGCATGGAGCTCTCCGTGCCGGAGCCTGCCCGCAACCTTGGAGATGACTCAGGGCCTTGAGACTCAGAACCAGGGACCTGCTGGGGCAGCTCTCCAAGAAGCTGCTGGATGCACTCCATGGTCAAAGTGTTGGTCCGCAGCTGGTCCAAGAAAGCCCTGTGCTGGGAATGGCGGCCAAGCGCTCTGTTATCCATTGGCCCGAACTCAGTCCCGATGATGTGTACCCCCCACCCCTTCAACTTGACAGGGTCCAAAGCTTGCTCCTCCTCGGCTTCAACTCCTTGCTGCCAGTCACCCCCAGCCTCCACGCCAAGTTCCGAGGAACTCTCCATCTCCGCTGCTTGATGGAAGAAGCTAGTTTCCTCAAAGCTGTCCAGCCTCGCAAGTCCGGAGCCGAATCGTGCCATTAAGCCTCCACAGTACGAGACCCTGGCCACATCTCTATCATGTGTCTGCGGCAAGACCTTGAGGCAGCTTTGCACCCTATGCCCGTGAGACACGATCACCAGACTTCGCTGTGCCAGGCGGCTCCTCCGCAGGTAGGACAGGAACCGGCGCGCGTAGCGTGTGCGCGCCTGCGGCAGCCGCTCAGGCCACGAGGGAGGGGCACCGAGGATCCTCTTCCACGACACACGGCGCACGGCGGGCTTTGCCAACGGCTGGCCCCTGGGCGTCGGCTCCCAGCTCTTCAGCGCCTGGTACAGTGCGAAGCGCTGGCGCCATGGGTGCCCTCCCAGGTGGTAGGCCCCGGACTCAAAGACACAGGGCCCAAACACCTCGCCCAGCTCGTGGTCAAGCAGCACCGTCAAGTTCAGCTGGTCTGCAATGATGATGGCAGTTTGCACACATCGCAAATATGGGGAAGAAACCACAATGCCGAAGCCTGCGAAGGTTCGAAGCATGTGAGATGCTTCCAACGCATCCTCAATGCCTGCCGGCGTGATGGGGCAGTCAGCAGGGTTCTGCTGCGCATCTGGAGATTGGGACCAGGTGGATCCCCAGGTCACGTCAGCGCGTTCTCCATGCCGCAGTACTGCCACCGCTGGCTGGAAAGCTTTGCCAGCGATGCCCTCCGGCTCTTCATCCCTTGTGGCCTCACAGTCATGGTTCTCACCACCCTCGAGCTCTGTCCTGAGCAGTGACAGTGCACGCGACAAGCCTACAGCACAAAGAAAAGGATGTTGAAACACGTAGCTGGCACTTGCTCTGAGAACATTGTGCGGGGAAAACTCCAAGGCTCTCACTTGTATGTATCTTTCTGTAGCTCTATGCAGAGTTGACACAGGTTTATATAAAAAGATCCGCAAAGAACAACTGCTGTGTGCATCAGTTCATTCGCTAAGATCGGAGTAAGACCGCAGCACTCTGTAACTTCCTCTGGCACAAACATAACCCAAGGTTGCATTTTCGCTGGGGCTCCAAAAGCTACACGCTAGCTGAGGCTCTCGTTTACAATTTGAGGTGCAAGGTCAGCTCAAGCAAGCTGGTCATTCTAAGGCATGTGATTCGTTCCCGTGCATGGGAAAATTGAGGAGTCCCTTAGCTGTTGGGGATGAATTTAGTGAGTCCCCGACTTTTTTTGACCACCTCATGCGTTTCAACATTCAATACATTCGGTTCGCCTGTTCCGTGCAGAAAGGTGAAGGCAGAAGGCTCTGAGCCTCAGCAGGCGCGATGGGTCGCGTCTGAGCTGTCAGAATTAACGCCTTTCACAGCATGCGTTGCGAAGCACGCCATTGCAATTTTGTTCTGTCTGAACTGCTCAAATTCCAAAATTCCAGTTTCAGCAAGCTCTTGTTCCTTCGAACTTCCCCTTGACCCTGCAGACCTTGAGGACTTTCCGACCGGTCTTGCATGGAATTGCAGCCGTGTTTGTCTGTGGTTGGCATTGATTGCTTTCATTGCTTCCAGCGATAAGTACTTTGCTTTTGCAAGTATCTAACCGTTCGCCCAGGATTGTCCGACCAGAATTATTAATTGGTTCCCAAGAACTTGCAACACGCCGTGCATCACCGGCAGGTAGCACCTGACTGCCGCTAAGTTGTTTTGCCAGGACTCTCTTCCGCGATGCCACCGCTTCCGGTCATGAAGCTGCCTCTCCAGCACGGATCATGACCAACTGGCGGCCACTCTCTCACCTGTTAGGAGCAGCAAGCGTCTGCGCAGCTCTCCGAACAACAACTCCTGTCTAACCGTTTGATGTGAGCCGAGATTTTCCAAGGAAACCACAGCCTGTCACCAAGATGGCCTGCAACAAGCCCTATATAGATTCCTTGGCACACCGACAGAAAACGCGAGACATGCTCCGAGCCTGCAGCAGCTCTGAACTGGGCAGCTCCACTTCTTGTGGTAGCGTACCACTGCTTGTGTGTGTGCGCAGGGAGATCTGCGACACGATCGCGTCCAAACTCCTTGCATATCGGTCTATATCCATCAAGCATGCATGAACTGTTCCTTCAAAACGTCTCCAGGAGAAGCGAACCGCTCAGGAGAAACACGTGAATTTTGAAAGGATGCACACGTTATGGACGGGTCTCAAGGCGTTCTGCCAGCCACGCTCCATGGCAGCCCACACGCACCTGACAGGGATTAGGATTGAAAAGCACAGCACCGTGACTTCCAAGTCACTGGCAGGTCAAAAGGCATCAACATGTTTTTCTGGTGCCATGGTGTCATGGAGGCACGGTACATGCTGCCATGGTGCCACGGTACATGGTGCCACAGTGCCACCGTGCTATGCTAGGTGCTTGAGGCATCACAAGTTTCATCGCACAAGCGCCTGATGATGCTAAAGTGAAGAACCTTACAGGAAAACACACACACACACACACAAATGAATAAAAATACACTTCAAGCAGCCAGCAGCCTCTCAGACTACAGGATTTGCTCAATTGACTAATTTACTTGTCTGGCCGAGACGCAGATTCAAACAGGATAATGCTGGCTACCGCCATGCCTCAGGTTCGCCAAGGCTGCTTCTGTATGGCAAAAATAGGTTCGGCTTGCAGACAGGAGGCAGTACAGCGCACCGGAGAGATTGTGAAGACGAATTGACACAGGGCCAAAAACCATGATCAAGGTAGTGCAGCCACCTAAGGCGATGAGCCTCAGTGCAAAGAAGCTTGGAGAACATGACGGGAAATCAACTGCACTGCTGCCCTTCAAAGATCTGTGCCAAGCGGATCCAAGCCGCATTGGGTGCACATTGGCGACGGCGAGCGTAGCCAATGCCATGACCCCAGAAATAGACGATAACGAAAATGCCAAATTATCCCACAGCAGGGAGTAGCATTCGCGCCTTTTCATGAGTGAAATCAGGCCAGCATTCAGAAACTGAGGGAGGACTGTGACTATCAACAAGCAGGACTCCCATAGCAGGACTTCCCTATCTGACAGCAACTTTCGCAAGGCCAGCACCGCTAGAGCAACGGCAGGGAGGGATACCATCATGGGCAGCAAAACTTGCCATTTGGAAGCCGCCCCGCACTTTGCTGCTCCCATCTCTATCCCACCCAAGATGGAGTCGGCAAGCACCAGGTGGCAACCCCACAGCATGCTGGCACAGAGCCAGGTGCAGCTAGCAGAACGAGCCATGAGAGGAGAGCTGCGCACCGCATCCTCCGTCGCTAATTTCCACCAGAAGCAAAAACCGCGGTATCTGTTTGGCTCGGCTCGCGGTGTCGAGGCAGCAGCCTGCTGGCTTATGATGGTGCCGTTCTTTACCGCGCTGATGACCTTCGAAAAGCTGTAGGTGTACCAAATAGCAATCATGATCATCCATCCTATGGGGCAGGCCACGAAACTGTTTCCCCGTGTTGGGATCCTTTGTTGCCAATCACACGCAAGCATGCATCCGTAACTCTAACCATTAAACATAATTTAGCTTCCCCCTTCAATGCAAGGCATGGTGTGGATAAGGATGACCAGGGTAGGAGGGCAGTTCTTTGGCATCAGTGAGCCCGAGTACACCTCAAACCCTGGCCATGCGGCAGAGGTGCTTTTCATTCGGCCTAGTTAGAGCAAAATGGGATTAAACTGGATAACAGCAAGTAGCGCTCTCGTCCTGAGAAAAAAAAAAAAAGTGAGGCAGGTACCACACTCCTCCAAATGTGACAAATTTCCTGACGCTCACGCTATGGATGAAGTACGTCGGAAAAGCGCCGTGCCACCAGAAGGTCCACGCAACAGGTGCAACCTCTTCGCTGACAATGAGGTCCACAAACATACATGCCAGTAAAAGTACACCGAAAGGATGTATCCGCATAGAGGCACATGCTGCCAAGTGGAATATGGCGAAAGTGAGGCCTTGTGTCCAGCCCAAGTCAAACATCAACAGTGGCGCTTCGAGGATAATCCCAAAACAAAAAATAACTTCAGATGCGATTCTCATCGCAGCGCGGCCAGAAAATTGCATGAACAGTGGCAAGACTGAAAGCGTCAGCGAAATCAAAGTTGCACTTCCAGACCATACATAAAGGGAGACGATACAGCGAAATGTGGCCCGCTGTAGGATCAAGGCGGTGAGCAGGTACGGCAGCAAGTGTCGTCCTGTAAAAGGGCTGTTCAGCAGTGTGCGGTCCGTGATGTCGCGCAGCCATTGCCTTGCATACCTCCAACATGACATTGGGTCTCAGTATGTCTCAGTGCCAAAATTGCCAAGTCAGCAAAATGCAACTTGTGGCTGGCTGCAAGTTGCTCGTCAGTGTCCATTGACTTTCATCGCATGGAATCATCTGTTCGATGGGCTGGGGAAGATTATCTGCAATCCGGTCCTGTATCTGAGCCAAGAGGCTGGCAACACACCTTCTGCCCTTTTTCTGCCACAAACCTTCTGCCCCTTTTCCAGCACTGACCCACTCAGCTCTTTTCTGCGGCCACAGGTCGTTAGCTCTTCTGAGCCTTGCGCCTGCGCAGCCAGACTCCCAAAAGAGAAATGAGGAAATCCCATCCCTGCCCCTTCCATGGTGCTGATGTGGTTGAGGTCTCTCTCATGTGGCTCTGAAGATCTTGCTTCGCTCTCAGGTTGGGGTCAGGAGCCTGGTTGGCCAGGCTGGGGGTCAGGTTGGTTGGCCGCACCCCCAGCATCACCGGCCCCGCTCAGACTAGGCTGCCTATTGGCTTTGGTTTGGTGGTAGTTCAGAGTTGCTTGAGGCTGGTTTCGGGTGAGTGTTTGGCTTGCTGAGGTATCAATGAGGGCAGGTCTTGGGTTTCCATTCGGCTCGGAAAAGGGCTGATATCCACGATGCTGTTGAGACAGATTAAGGTTGACTTTGAGTCAGTTTGGGTTGGCTTGGAGCTGATTTGCGATAGGTGTGCAGCTGGTTTAGCAGTGGCTTTAGGGTTCTGCGCTGAGTTTTGGGCTAGTCTTGCTGGTTTGGGGCAACGCCCCACAACCAATCCAAACCAGCCGAAAACTTGCAGAACCACAGCCGTAAAGAAACCCGAACACCTCGCACAAATCAGCTCCAAGCCAACCCAAGCTGACTCAAAGTCAGCCTTAAACCCTCCCCCTTTCCAAGCCTACATGAACCCCAAACAAACCCAAGACCCGCCCTCAGCAGGCCCAACACTCACCCGACACCAGCCCCAAGCAACTCTGAACTGCCAACAAATCAAAGCCAATAAGCAGCCCTAGTCCGAGCGAGGCCGGTGATGCTGGTGATGCGGCCGGTTCAGCCCGAGCACCTCTAGCCAATGCAGCCCTGACACCAAGTAACTGCGGCCGCCCAGCCAACCAACCAACCAACCAACCAACCAACCAGTCCCCTAGCCGGGGCTAACGGAGCTAGTAAACAAAGACACCGGTTCCGTGCTGATGTGGATTGACAAAACCCAATCCAAGAGGGAAACTGATGCACTAACTGGTGCTGGCATCCACAGTGCCAATCAAGCGTTGTGGGCCTTTTGCCTTTGGAGGGCGGCCCAGGTGCCGGCTTCGACCTAATGGAGGGAGGCAGTATTTTGCGAACCTTCGAATGGCATTGTCTGACTCCTCAAAAAGCACACTTTGTCAAGTCAAGGGGACATGCTTGCAAAAACAAATAACCAGCATGCAATGTGTGTGTGTGTGTGTGCGTGCATGTCTGCAGGGTGTCTGGGGGTGCGTGTGAGCGTGCAGCTGTGCTTGCGAGTTCGTGACGGTGCGGGTGTGGGCAGGCTGGCCCGGCCAGCGGGGGCAGGGGGGGCAGGGGGGGGGGGCTGCGGGGGCAGGGGGAGGGGCCAGGGGGGGCAGGGAGGGGGGGGGACGTGCGGGCATGTGGGCGTGCGCGTGCGCGTGTGAGCTCGTGTTTCGTTGGACGTTCTAACAGTGTGCCCCATAAGTGGGGAGCCGGGTCATGGTCCATGATGATTGTGCCATGTGTGTGTGTGTGTGCACAAGCACAAGCACAAGCACAAGCACTTCCCCTGAACCATTAGGTATTTTGTTGCAAATAATTTTGCCTTCGGGATGTGGAAACCCTCTTAAACAATCAGGCGCCCGGCGGTGGCGACTGTGGGTGAGCGGAAGGGGATCGGCTTACGCTGCCGCTGCGACCTGCGCCAAACGCAGTCTGGAAGCTGATATTCAAAGCCTTCAAGGGCGGGGACTAAAGGGCTCCCTTTCGGCAAACTCATTGCCATTCAGAACGCAAGCATGCACAGGAACACTCAGGGAAATACATCCCTTCGTGCCTTTCCGCTTCTTCTCCCGCTCGGCTTTGTGGCCATCTAGCGCAAAACATGCATATTGCAATGACTGCCGGTCACAAATACGGACGGACCGCTGGCCTTGTGCTGGGCGCGGCCTGGGGGCGGGCTTTTGCAAACAGGATTTGTTCGAATCGGAGCACGCTAGCCTTTTTCTAGAAAACGATTTCCTTATGTTTTTTTGTGGATTTCCCCTCTTCTTTCCCCCTTGCAGGTTCATGTTCAGTACTCTGTTAGTACTTTTTTGTACTCTTTTAATTTCCTACAGGGGTGGATCCACAAAAACCGCATCCAAACCGTTGTAGCAAGATCCGCAATGCTGAAGCGGAAAAGCGGCGCAGGCTAGCCGCTCTACATCCGCTACATTGTGTAGGCGGCTCCGTGGCCCAAATCACGTATGAACATCCATTGCGCCACTATCACCCCCTCGCGCGGCCTGTCGCCAGCCACTCAAGCCACCCTAGACTTTGAACTACGTTTTTAACATTGTTGCCTGCCGTCTATTGTCAAGCTAACACGGGCCCCGCGCTCTCAACCCTGGTTGTCCTTCTT